TAAAATTTTTTATTAAAATATAATGTATTATTTGTTTCAGAGGCACAGGTCTGTGATTCAACAGTCTTACACAATTCACAGTGCTCACCATAGTACATACCCTCCCCAATGTCCATCACCCAGCCACCCCATCCCTCCCACACCCCTCTACTCCAGCAATCCTCAGTTTGTTTCCTGAGATTAAAAGTCTCTTATGGTTTGGGAGGGAAAAATGAAACAAGATGAAACCAGAGAGGGAGACAAACCACAATACTGATCATTTCTAAATTAGCTTCACTCTAATAACATTTCTATGCCTTTCCTTATTGGACTAGGCACAACAACCTCTTATGGAATGAATAACTCTTTAAAAGAAGGTCAGTATCTTCTGAATATTCCTGATCTGAAAATATGTTTTATCAGAGATTAAGGATACCATGGAAGAAAATTAAGTAATTCTTGTAGTTAAAGGAAAATAGAATTTGTGTTAGTTTATCGAATCTTAGAGACTTAGTTTTTAAGAGTTGTGTCTCTAAGCCAACACAAACAGTATTTGAAGAAAATCTCAGTCCTTCTGCCATTAAGAGATGGAATTACTGTCTGTGAAGGCAAGTGTTCATAAAAAGATGATTTTTAAATTATGAGGATTTTATAAATACTTAGAATTATCTTAAATCCCTTCTTACACCTTCATCCTATTGGCTTTATCTCTAAGATATAATCTTTTTTATTAGCTTTTATTATTAGGATCCATAAGAAAGATTTCTTAACCTCAGTTGAGTAACTGCATGTTTTTATCTCTAGTTTCCTTTTTGCCTAGCTTTCATGAAGCTCAGAGTGGAATCTGTGCTCCATGTTTTATAAATACGCAGGACTCTAGTGCATGCATTTCTACCCATTCACGTCTCAGATTACTTAAATCTTATTTTTTTGATATCTTTATCTTTATTTTTCAAGCTTTATTATACTATGTTATTTTACTTATTTTTAAAAAATATTTTATTTATTTATTTGAGAGAGAGAGAGAGTGGGGAGGGGGAGAGGGGCAAGGAGACTCCCCACTGAGCACGGAGCCTGATGCAGAGCTCATCCCAGGACCCCGAGATCATGACCTGAGCCGGAATCAAGAGTTGGATGCCCAACCGACTGAGCCACCCAGGTGCCCCTAGATTATGTAAAATACTTTCCTAAGTAGCATATCATTTATTTATCCATTAACAAAATGATAAAGATATTAATGATAATATTGGAAGTTGATCTGGCCTAAGTGGGATCTTAAATTTCACACTAGAGATGACTAGATTAGAAGAACATCCTAGAGGTCTGAAAATAAAATCTCAAGCTTCTTCTGTCATGGTTTCCCATTCTTTCTTTCTGTTTTAATGACAGTGAAACAAAGGTAAAAATAAAACCCAAATAACTTGATTATGGTTGAACACGTCACACAATATAATTTAATCAAGTAAAACCTACTTCTCAAAACCTGTAAGATGGAAGGAGATAGTGACAGGGCAGACCGCCTGGTGCCTGACCTTAATGATCACCAGGAACTTGTCATGAAACAAACTGTAGGTAGCAATTATTTACCAAGCTCTCTTCCGGATATTCACTAAATAGTTTCATGTCTACCGTCTTTTCAGTTGGCCCACTAGGAATAAAATGTACACTCAACATTTCTCAGTCTCCTTCTTTTGTCCATGATACCAAATATAGGATGTTTCCTTCAAATTTCACATCCACGCATTTTCTTCTCTTCACTAGAGTTTAACATAGAGTCAATTCTAAAAATGCCTTTAAATAGTCTTTACTCACTCTTGAGACATATCTGTGTGTAAACAGTGGAGTCAGCAGCAATAGAGTTCACAATGGTGGGGTGCAAAATATGAGCAAACATCTACAGATCTAGAGCAAAGTTTCCCAACCTCGGCACAACTGAAGTTTGGAGCCAGATGATTCCTTGTTTTGTGTGGCCGGGAGAGGGGAGTCCTGTGCACTGTAAAATGTTTATCAGCAACCCTAGCCTCTACCAACAAGATCAGAAGCAGCCTATTTCCCCAGCGTGACAACCAAAAATATCTCCCCCAGGAGCAAAATCACACCTGGTTGAGAACCACTGGTCTACAATCCAATTTCTTAGATAAGCTGTAGCCAATTGCTTCATAAACTGCTTATGGGGAATCTACGAGGTAGGTCGAACTAAATAAATAGGATTAACACTTTATTACACAATTATATAATATTATGGTTCTGAGTCACTTTATTACTGCAATGTGCTTTGAAGGCCGCAAGTCAACCGTTCAAATATTCAGAAGAAACCCCATGCTAGATATTTCCTTTTTCATGCCTTTACAGTGACACACCATATCACTCTGACCTACCCATATGTCTCTTACTAGATATTTCTAGTGTCTACTTTAAATTGGGTGTGAAAAGAAATGGCTGATTTCTCAGTCCCTTATGAAGATTTTGGAAAATATTATTTGGTATTTCTTCACTGAACACCGAACCATTACAGTTCTGTTTGCCTTTAAGCTTTCCGAATAATGTCAGTTTTCCATAACTTCTTTTAACACAGGATGAATTTTCAAATTATTTCTTTGAATGTTACCCATTTAACTTTTAACTTTACAATCCCAATCATACTAGTTTATGCTATTTTAAACCTCTGTAAGAAACTGTTTTATAATTTTTAATTTATGACATTTAAGGTTTCTACTAAAAAGCTGTACCTATTTCTGAGGGGATCCTCAGATTCCCAACCTAGGAATCTATTGCTCTAATTTCTTCCCTTGGAAGATCATCAGATGTATGACAGAGCAATAGAAACCAATTAAAAATAGACATACTTGCTCCAGTGAACTTTGCCTTCCAGTGCCTGCATTTCACCAAGAATAGCAAGAAGAAGAGAAGACTTCCCACATCCCACTTGGCCCACAATCATGGTCAACTGACCTAGAGAAATCAAACAAAGGATAAGAACAGGAGGACATAGAATCCTCTTCGTAAAATAAACCCAAAATACATTTAGAAAGGCTGATGTTTCAAAATCAATGGCTCACATTTGGTCTCCAGCAATAAGGTATATATTTGGTATATATAACTCCTTTCTCTGATACACAAGTTTTTTTGAAAAAGGAGAGAAAAATTAAAAGATATAGGTCTTACTTTACTGTTTCCAACTATGAGAATGGCTGACATTAATGGAGAGAGCAATGAAATAATTGCCTAAATAATCTCGATTAGTTTTAATTTTATTATTCAATTCACTCAGGAGAGGGCAGTTTTGACTCAGATTGATAATTGGGATGAAAGGGATTTAGGCTGGCATTAAGACATCTTCTCCAATTTGATACTTTGATATGCATGTAAAATAGAAAAATCCCAACCTATTTGCCATCAGGCCAGGTCAAAAATGTATTTTTATTCAATTACCTAGACATTTTAAATAAAAATTAGTGGGCATTTGAGCCTTAAATATCTTGAAAACTTTAGTTGTCTTCAGGGATAGAAAACAATTCTCTTAAATAGTCTTTCTTTAAATCCTTTCTCAAACAAAACAAAAAATCAACTACCCCATTATTTAAATGGACTAATCAGCAAACGAGCTGATAACAGCTTATTTGGGCAGTAAATAACTTGTCCAAATGTCTACACACTCCATAGTGAAAAGCAAGTCTTAGCATTTCCAGTCATTTCCACAATGATATAGTGGCTCATGAGCTACATGGTGCAAATAAACAACTATAAATAATGTTTATAATGTTTAAAAAGTCTTTTTTTTTTGTTAAGATCAATTATCTTGGAAATCCAGGGTTGTGATAATTAACAATTAAAAAATGAGTAACAAATGACTTACCTGTTGGAATTCGAATATCTATATTTGATAATGTAGCTAAACCACTGCCCCATGAAAAGTAACCATTTGTGACCTAGAAAAGAAGAACATATAAATTAAATTATAAAATTATATATATATATATTTGGTGTTATAGAATAATTCCAATTAAAATATGTTTTCTATTTAGAGCACTGAAAGACTTTCAGTATAAGGTAGAACACACAGTGGTGAAATTCTAATTTAGAGTTCTAGCTATTGAGAGGTATAAATGAAGAACAAAAAAGAATGGAAGTGAAAGGAGGGTCTTTGAATTAGTGATATTATGAATAAGCTAAAAATTACAATTTTCTCTGAAAATTCGGGATTACTAGATCATTTACATGTGAGTATTCTTAAAAAGCAATCATCCCAAATATTTTTTAATGTAACCCCAACACTGATTACTTTTCCAGTGCTACGCAATTCCCAGTATCCTGGTGATGCAATGTATAGAGTGGAAATAATGACAAATTATTCCAACAAAATGATTCTGTTACCAGGAGGAAGGTTTTGTAATAAAGGAATTTCCTGAACTGTGTGGATTAATCTCTATTCAATGAAGTTAAAACAAAGAGTAAAAGGAAGAGTGGCATAAAACACAGAAATGAGGTAACATATACTGGTGGGATAAACCTCAACAACCAGCAAAGATCACAAGACCTATAGTCATCCAAAGCAATCTATTTGACAGGCATGAGGTGGACTTGATAGTTTTAATAGTTACAAAAATGGGAAACAAAAGAGGTACAACAGAACCAAAGGACGGAAGTTGCTTGAAAAGACAAGGTTGCAATTTTCCACATAGGTTTTCTCTAACTTGTAAAATGTAGCTCATTTAGTAATATCCGTTACATAGATGTACATGAAATTAGCCCCAGGAGGAGGGTGGCATGGAAGGGCTGCATTACTGATTGCTTTACATATATTTGCTGAGCACCCACTCTTTGTGAGGTGCTTTGTTTGTATCGATATGGGCTACAAAAAAGATATAATACCTCCTGCCTACTTGCTTGGAGCTTGTAGCCAGTTGAGTAAATAGACCATGGACAGGAGCAAGTACAGTACAAGACAGTATGGGCTAAGTAACAAATAGAGGGGACAGGCAAATAAGGGTAACAAAAAGAAAACCATTCACAGTTGAGAAAGAAAACCATTTATGTCTGAGATGGGGTTTAAAATTTTTTTTGGAAGAAGAAGTCTTTCAGCTAGTTTTGGAAAATATATTGAATTACAATGAAGGCATTTGGGGGTAAAGACCTACAATACAAATAGGCGCAGGATCAGAAAACTATGAAACATGTGGGAAATAATGACTAGAGCTGGCTGGGTTAGAGGTTTAAGATACTGTGGCTAACTGATAAATGACGCTCCAAAAATTTAAACAGCCTGAGGATCCCTGTTTCTCTGAGGCTCAAGGAGCTGCAAATATAACTGGGTTTGGAAGTGGGCCAGCGTGGAACTGAGAAAGGCCCTCCCCGATAATCTTGTGTTTTCAACGAACTGAGAGTGAGGCTTATTGGCAGAGAGAAAAAGTCAAATGGGACATGGAAGGAGGTGAGAAGACAGTGCTGAAAGCTGAAGAGCCATGGGAGGCTGAGGAAACTAATGCTGACGGGAGGCACGTAAAGGATTGCCAGGAACTACTGAGGGGCATCGGAGCGGGGAGATCCTAAATGTGTGGCTCTGCCAACCAGTCCATTGTGTCATTTCCTCTATAGTGCTCGGTAGCCTCTTCTAGGAGTGTCGAAAGCACGAAGTTGGATTGGTTACAGAAAGTGCTAAAGGACTGAGGGAAAAAGAAGTGGCTCAAGTTGCTGGAGGTCTCGATAAGGTTAAAAAGCAATGTCAGCAATGGTGAGGCCTGAGAGAGCTGGAAGTAGGGTTCTGGGGTCAGTGACTGCCTGACACAATAGAGTTTAAGATTTTGGAGGAGAGCAGTTCCCAGTGGTGGCCAGGTATGACCACAGGCAAGGTAGTAGAAATGGAGTGAGAGCAGAGTAAGAGATTTCTGGGCTGGGATACTAAAGAGCTGTGCACTTGGAAGTTTAAACCACATCCATGCATGGCACCAAGTAAGCTAGGGAGATGGACAGGGAAACAGGTCCACAAAGGTAGAAAATGCCAAAACTTCACAAAGGTGTGAGAGTTGAAAAGATGGTCTGAAAGCAGCAGGGAAGGAGCTAGAAGAATGCAGTGTCGCTACACAGAAGTAAAAGAGGGGACAACCTCCGTTCAAGAAGGATGATGGAAGAGGGTCCAAGTTAGTCTCTCCTGCGGCAATCTGCACTTCCACTCCCTCCTGCCTTTTACAAAATAGTCTCATGTCTCCACCAGGGTTAAAATCCTAGGTTTCCCTAAATATTTGTTTGACCTTGGAAAATCAGGCAACATATACATCTTTGCAAAGGTCCATAAAAGGGTAAGTACAAAAATGAACATCATAGCATGGTTTGTGATAGAAGGAAGATGGAGGCAAAGCCAGTGTCCATTCCTAGCGGATAAGGAAAATACAGTGATGTATACTACAGAACAGAGTAGTGTTGTAAGAAGGAGCAAACCATCATGAAAACATTTCAGGAGACCGAAAGCACATAGATGCTTTTTACATATTTTACAAGGATATGAGTATGTTTAGGCACATATATTGAGCACATTAGAGCTTGTACCATAATGGCAGGGGAGTGGTACAGAACAGGAGTGGGGATCATGGATAAGGGGAAAGAATGTATTAAAAGTAAAGGAAGGGGGTGCCTCGGTGGCTCAGTCAGTTAAGCATCTGCCTTCGGCTCTGATCATGATCCCAGGGTCCTGGGATCGAGCCCTGCATCGGGCTCCCTGCTCCACAGGGAGCCTGCTTCTCCCTCTTCCTCTGCCTGCTGCTCCCCCTGCTTGTACTCTCTCTCTCACTGTCAAATAAATAAATAAAATCTTTAAGAAAAAAAGTAAAGGAAGGAACTAGACAGATGCAAGTTACCTATTGCATGACCCATTTATATAAAATATCCAGAACAGATAAATCCGTAAAGACAGAAAGCAGATTGGTGGTTGCCAGTGGTAAGAAATAGGGGTAAATGGGGGGTGACTGCTTAATGGGTATGGGATTTCCCTTTGGGATGATAAAAATATTTTGCAATGGGAGAGAGGTGGTGGTTGCACAATATCGTGAATGTACTAAATGTCACTGAATTGTTCACTTTAAAACAGTTAATTTTATGCTATGTGAATTTTACTTCAATTAAATAATTTTTTAAGAATTTAAAGGCAGGACATTACACAAACCATCGTCCATTTCCTCCTGCTGAAAATAAGCAAAAATAAGGAAAAATGCTGAATAAACTGTAGTTTGTAAAGAAGTTCATTAAAACAAGGAGTAAGGAAATACCAAGTCCAAGTATAAAGAAAAGGACAAATTCAGAGCTGTAAGCCCTGAAGCACACTAAGCCTCGTTCCCACAAAGGGGACAAGAATAGCTAAGATATTTCAGAAGAAAAACAATAACATATAAGAACTTGTCCTAAAATATGTCAATGCTTATTAGAAAGTTATAATGATCATAACAGTGGAATCTGGGTGAGAGAAACCAATGAAAAAAAATAATAATAGAGGCCAGCAATCAGTCTAGACATATAAAGATCCTTGAAGTGTGTATGAGACTACACTGAATGTCAGTGGGGACAATGACCGATATGAGGAACTGGAACAACCGGATGTCATATAAAAAATTAAATCAGAGTTTACAGACTCACTACTAAATGTAGTAAAATTACTGCCACTAAATTTACTACTGCTAAATTTCAACCAAAATTGTTTGTTACTGATTTCCCTTCTACATCACATCCCTACTTCATACCAAACACAAAGATGGATCCAAGGTTGATTCAAGAATTAAAAGGGAAAGGTGTAGCTTCAAAGATTTTAGAAGCTAATATAAATCATCTTCATGACCTCTGGCAGGGAAAGTTTTCTTAAATGAGACAAAAAACCCCAAAGCATCAGCCATAAGGAAAAGTTATATAAACCAGACTACACTAAAATTAACAACTTCTGATACGATAAAGCCAAGCTCTAAATGGAAGAAGAGTTCTGTAACATATAACTGCCAAAACAGCTAAGGTATAAAGTATAAAGAAGTAGTACCCAGAATTTTTTAAAGGTGGAGGGAACAAATAAGCTGGCAAGTCACAAAAGAGGAAATCAAAATCCACCTGGCCAATGTATACGTGAAAAGATGCTCAACCTCAGTAGAAATCAGAAAAGTAAATAAAAGTAAATAAAAAGCACAAAATACAATGGCACCTCCTCATAATACACACTTTGGCAAAATACTGGAAGCACTGGTGAAGATGCAGGGCAACCAGAACTCTCAGCCCCCATTGGTGAAAGTGTAAATTGGCACAACCACATGGGGAAACAATTTTCCATTATCTGGGAAAGTTGAGGATGCACAGACCCCGTGACTTGGCAATTGTTCACAATAGCCCCAAATGGAAAAATAACCAAAAGCCCATCAAAAGTAGAACAGACAAATAAATTTTGGCACATTCATACATTGAAATGTTACACAGTAATGAGAATAATGAAGTACATCTTCACATGATGATCCGGATTAACTAGACATACATAATAAGCAAAAGAAACAAAACACACGCACACACAAGCACACGTTTAAACTTAAAACAACTAAAATATGTTTTTAGGGAAGCATGCATAGCAGGGGTAACCAAGGAAATGATGACGATAAAATTCAGGGTGGCAATTGTTTCTTGGAGAGATAGGAGAGGGAACAGCAAATGTGTGCATTGGGAGGAACTTCGGAGGGAACCGGTGATGTTCTTTACTTGCTGGTTGCATAGGGGTTCACTTTTTCATTTAATGGTACATATATATTTTATGTACTTTTCTGGAGACATGTTCTATTTCACAATAAAAAAAAGATTTCAAAAAGACAAATGAGTTATTACCAACTTGAGAATTTCCACCATGAATAAAAACTTAAAGGCTTGATGGTGGGCCTGAAACTGCAGTGCCCATTGCTAAGCAGTTTTTCGAGTTTTTTGCTTTTTTTTGCGTGTGTTTTTTTTGGTGCATGAAAGGTCAACTTTAGAAAAACAAATGATAGCCTCTTTTTTTTACATTCAAAATAAAAACAAATTTAGTAAGTCACATGGAAAAGATGTATTTTTAGACTCTCACTATATTGAATAGAAAATGTCAATTAAAAAAAAACTGATCCTGTTTCTGTAGTCATGCATATATTACTTGTTATGTGGGCATAATTGGAAGTAAGAAGCACAGAAGGCCCTTCCTACTCTCTCATTCCAGACTTTGTCATAGCCTAGTACTTCATACCCTATCTACACATTATAATTGTTAGGGAACTACTAGAACTATTGTTTTCAATGATGCCTGAGTCATATTCATAAACACACACACACACACACTTAAAGCTTTCTGGGAGGTTCTAATGTACAGCCAAGATTAAGAATCACTAAAGCTCCTGGGGCGCCTGGGTGGCTCAGTCAGTTATGCGTCTGCCATCTACTCAGGTCATGATCCCAGGGTTTAAGGATCGGATCGAGTCCTACGTCAAGCTCCTTGCTCCACAGGGAGCCTGCTTCTCCCTCTCCCCCTGCTTGCGGCTCCCCCTGCTTATGCTCTCTTTCTCTCTCTGTCAAATAAATAAATAAAATCTTTACAAAATTTTTTTAAAAAATCACTAAAGCTCTTTAAAATTCACGTGACATATTTTATCCTCAAAACAAGAATGCTAAAATGGCATCCCCACCACAAGATGGGCAAACCATAGCTCAGAGAGGCAAAGTGATTTGCCCAAAAGTCACACATCAAATCGATGGCAGAGTTTGAATTAACATTCACTTATTCCATCCAACCACACATTTGCTCCAACTGCTAAGTGCCTACTGTGGGACAAGTATTGTGTCAGGCAATACAGAGAGAGAGAAGATCTAAATGTAGCCCTCGGCTCTATGATACTCCGCGCGGAGGCTCCCTCACTCTCTGACTGGCCTGGGCAGCACAGGGAGTTGGTTAGCCCAGCAGTCGACACAGTTTTCTAAAAGGGCTAATTTCCAGGACTCTGGCTGCACTGATGTCTAAAAGCCGTTGACTGCTCGGGCATCTGTTCCTGCACACCACTGACCCCTCTTTGGACCCACTATCAATCCTCGTCTTGTTATCCCCTGGTGGCCTGTTCTACCTAAGCACACTTGCTGGGAAAGTACAAAAGGCTGTTTGAAATGAAATTGGATCAAAGGCACTACTGGGAACCAAGCGGGTGGGGAGGGCCCACGGGTGGGGGGGG